GTGGGTAACATGATACACGATAAGCAGAATATTATTTTTATAATTTTAGAACCCTAAAAAAATACTGTAATAATTATATATATTAATTTAACAATTTTATACCCCCAAAAACTATAATAAATAAATATATATATATATATTAAATTAACTATAAAGTCTATAATAATTATAATAATTATATATACTATAATGATTATACCCCCAAAATTTTAACTATCTATAATAATATTATATATATATATATATATATATATTAAATTTTGAATTAAATTTTATAAAAACTATAATAATTATTAATTAATATGCATCCATTGATTTGATTCCATAATTGATAATTCCATTCCATTTCTGCCGCCCTTTTTGAAAAAAAAAAGGAGGGAAAATGAAAATGATAAGAAAAGTTGAAAAGGAAACAAAAAAGAGAGGGAAGTAGGGAAAGATGCCGGAGGGAAAAGTGAATATTATAAGAAAAGTTAAAAAGGAAACAAAAAAGAGAGGGAAAAATGAAAATTAATAGAAGTGGTGAGAATTTTTTTTTTTTTAAGTTATTAACTTTTTATCACACATATGACATATCTTACTATTTTTATAATGACACACGTGATGTACTACTCCGTGTACCAGTCAATTATACATACAAAATAAATAGATTTAAATCTACTTAATAAATAAATAAATAAATACACACACACACACACACCGTTGGAACTTGATGGGATACGAATTCTCCGAAACTAATTTCAACGATCCCAATCGTCAAACTTGTTTGTATATGCTTTGAGATCACATCAACAAAAAATCGCAAAAAACAAACATTCAGAGATCAAGTGACGGGACAAAACTTTTCGACGGTTATAAACGAAAAATCACGATTTAACGGTTATTTTAACTTCGATTTTGATAATTTTTTATAGCTACACTCCTTGACCCTATATGAATACAATGAATGAATTCGATCTTCAATATAAAATATTTACACAAGTGAATACCACAAAATCTTATGTTATACTTGATGAAAGTATAAATAAACTCTAAGTGTTAGTTAATCTATTGTTTTTATGGGATACGAATTCTCTTAAACTAATTTCAACGATCCCAACCGTCAAACTTGTTTGTATATGCTTTGAGATCACATCAACAAAAAATCACAAAAAATAAAATATTCAGAGATCAAGTAACGGGACAAAGCTTTTCGACGGTTATAAACGAAAAATCACGATTTAACGGTTATTTTAACTCTGATTTTGATGATTTTTTACAGCCACACTCCTTGACCCTATATGAATACAATGAATGAATTCGATCTTCAATTTAAAATATTTACACAAGTGGATACCACAAAATCTTATGTTATACTTAATGAAAGTATAAATAAACTCTAAGTGTTAGTCAATCTATCGTTTTAATGGGATACGAATTCTCCAAAACTAATTTCAACGATCCTAACCGTCAAACTTGTTTGTATATGCTTCGAGATCACATCAGCAAAAAATCACAAAAACAAACATTCAGAGATGAAGTAACAAGACAAAGCTTTTCGACGGTTACAAACGAAAAATCACGATTTAACGGTTATTTTAACTCCGATTTTGATGATTTTTTAAAGCGACATTCCTTGACCCTATATGAATACAATGAATGAATTCAATCTTCAATTTAAAATATTTACACAAGTGGATACCACAAAATCTTATGTTATACTTAATGAAAGTATAAATAAACTCTAAGTGTTAGTCAATCTATCATTTTGATGGAATATGAATTCTCCGAAACTAATTTCAACGATCTAAACCGTCAAACTTGTTTCTATATGCTTCGAGATCACATCAGCAAAAAATTGCAAAAAACAAACATTCAGGGATCAAGTAACGGGATAAAATTTTTCGACGGTTATAAACGAAAAATCACGATTTAACGGTTATTTTAACTCCGATTTTGATGATTTTTTACAGCTACACTCCTTAACCCTATATGAATACAAAGAATGAATTTGATCTTCAATTTAAAATATTTACACTAGTGGATGTGGATATCTCAAAATCTTATGTTATATACTTAATAGAAGTATGAATCAACTATAATATTAATAATTATATACATTAATTTAACAATTTTATACCCCTAAAAAGTAAAAACTATAATAATTATATATATTAAATTAAATTTAAAAAATTGATGACCATTAGATTGACTGAGATTAAATCTCAGCCATCCATTTCATAATTATATATATATATATATATTTTATTAAATTTTAAAAAATTGATAACCATTGGATTAGCTGAGATTTAATCTCAGCCGTCCATTGTAGGCTATTACTCTTCTCTCTCATTAACTCAGACTCAAAATCACTCTCTGTTTCTCTCTCAAATCCTCGATCGACTTCGTCTTTGACTTCGAGACCTCACGCTGTCACGAGGGCACGGCGCCTCCCCCTCCTCACGGGCCCTCTCACCTCACCTCAGTCTCAGATCAGTGACCTCACTCTCCTCGTCGTCCTCGAGTCTCGACCTCACCCAGACTGTCACCCTCCTCACTCAGTCACTCAGTCAGTCTCCTCACTCCTCACCAGTTCACCCACTCTGTCACCCTCCTCACTCTTCAGTCCGCACTCCTCCTCACTGCACAACATAAGAAATTCCTACAATAAACTCAAGGGTTTCTGAATTAGGGTTTTTCGAATTAGGAATTTCTGAAATTAGGGTTTCTAAATTAAGGCTTTTGGAATTAGGAATTTCTGAAATTCAAGTTTCTGAATTAGGGATTTTGAATAGGGACTCTGAATTAGGGCTTTTGGAATTCGGAATTTCTAAAATTCATGTTTCTGAATTAGGAATTTTGAATAGGGACTCTGAATTAGGGCTTTTGGGATTTTGTTATTTCCTTCTTTGTTCTTTTTCATTTTAATGGTTTAAGATAGAAAGAGGAGATGTTAGGGACAAATTTATCGCAATTGACTCCAAGATGTCATCTCAGGTCCTCAAAGGACTCCAATACGATTTTGAACAAATATTAATCAAATTAAGGACGGCCATTACTTTTTTTTTTTACCAAAAAATGTAAAGCTATGATTTCACTTTTACTCCTTGATCGATTTGTGCTTTCTGCAACAAAGAAATGGCTCAACATTTAACACCCATTTGCTTTATCTACACACTGCTATCAGCATCACTGCAAAACAAGAGTGTGTAGTGATTGTAAATGTCATCTTTCTCTTGTGCTCTTATAAGAAAGGAGTGTGTGGTGATTTCTTTGGAGTGTTAGTTAAATTTGCCAATACATTCATTTACAAGTCTTATCTTAATCATTATTACATGTGAATCGATGATGTATTGCTGGCTATGTAGCCTACCAAGTAACAAGGAATGATGATAAATGGTAGGGTAGGAAGAAAATATACTCATTATAGAAGTGGGCATGCATTTTGTATGGCCTAAGACTAACCTTTTTCGGAGTGGGAAATGAGGGAAGTGCTTACATACATTGCATGCATGCTTCAACAGCCCTAGCTGAAATATAATATTATTCCAAAAGTCACCACTTGCATTGCCAATCATGATGATAAAGCATCTTCTCTTGCCATCGTGGTTTATATTATAGGGCCTACTAATTTAGTCAAAATCATTCGATATTCCATTATTTGCTTACTGTTTGAGTGCAGTTATATATGTGAAATTGAAATAGATATGTGAATTTGAAATGGATATGGTATGAGCAAGATTTTAAAATTTTGTTTTTCTTTCTTGAAGCAATGGATGTTGTAGAGCAAGATTTTAAGAATCTTAGTGATGGAGGGTCAGTGGAAGTGACAATGGGAATGCAACCTCATCATGGAAGTGATAATACAAAAGATACAAATACAAGTCCGGCAAAGAAAAAAGCTAGAGTTTTATATGGTATAGTATTATTATTTTATTTCTTTTCATAATTATTTTGGTAAACTTCTCATAATTTGAATGATTTTTAATGTTTGGTTTTTCTATATTTAGTTTATGCGGAAGAGAGTTATGACGTGGAAAACATTATCTTCAACATAACTCTTGAAGGCAATCGATCAAGCCAAAGTTCCAATGCAATTTCATGATGATCGATGTAAATTGAAGATTTTGTAAATGGAGGTGTAAACTTCTGAGAAAGACTTACAATCTTGAAAACAAAAACTCTTTCATTTTGCACATCCTTGCACATTTAATATTTGTAATAGATTAGTAGTGTATGTATTATTTTTTTATTAAGCTCTTATTTTCGAGTGTAGATATAGTACTTAAACGATAAATGTTTTAATGTTTTGAAGTAATATTTATGTGGCAATGTGTGGTATGTGCAAATTTCAAAAAGTTTTTTTTTTTTTCTTAACGGGTCATAACGGGTCATGTCACTTTACCTGTTGGGTAAAGTGACCCGACCTGTTAAGGACCCGTTAAGATAACGGGTGTGACACGACACGACCCGTTAAGATAACAGGTGTTACACGAAAACGACACGAACACGACAGACACGACCTGTTTGCCAGGCCTAATGACACGTAACGTGACGAGATTGGTTAAAAATCCTATCCGAAATTAAAACAATTTTATTTATTTATTATTTTATAAAAAAATTAATAATATTTTAAATAGGCTGGATGCCAGAGTATTTTGTAGGGATGGAAATCATTTGTGCCATCGCATTTTTAGACTAGGTGCCAGCGCATTTTTTTAGGGGTGGAAATGCTTTGGTCTATTACTGTTCATTGGAGTATATTATTGTTCACTGAAGTGGATAAATGAGCTGGATACTCACACAAAATCCTTAAGGGTGAAACTGCGTTTTTGGTCAGTCAACCACGTTGTCGTATATGATTGTTCCGCAACTTGCGTTGGAAGGCAACAATAGTCTTCCACATAGAGGACCCCCCTCAAAATTAAATGCGCAAGACTCAAGATTCCAGAAATCGTACAGTAAACAAAAGTCATATTTTCTCCGTGGAAAAAGCACCTATGTAGCTAATCTGCAAATTAATGGCTGCTTCCAGTTTAAGACAAGGTGAAATAGCAATGGAGGATGTTGGCTGGAGTTCAAGACAAGATGATCAAATAACTGGCGAGGGTGCTCATGAGAACGCTGCAGGAGACACCGAGGCAGGCGACACGCGCATGGATCCTAAACTATACAGGTATGCAACGATGCCTAAATCAGGATGTCAAGAGTTTGTATGGGCTATGCGCACAAAGTATTTTGCCAGAGCCACATGTGCAATACCTATATGTAATATTCCTGATCAAATAGTATCGCTGGTCCTAAGTAGTGAAAACAAAGTAAGCACCGGTGGGAACACGGTGCTTCACCTTGCTGCAAATACAGGCCACGTGCAGCTTATCCAACTAATTACCCTAAATTTCCCGGGGCTTCTCCGCAAACAAAATGATGATGGACAACTTCCGCTACATGTAGCCGCATCCGCTGGCCATCTATCCGCAGTTCGTTGTTTGGTAGACACGGCTCAAGGTAATACGTTTATTGAAAAGGACGGGAGAGGGAACACTGCGTTGCATGTCGCTGTGGAAAATAATCACCAAGATGTGGCTATGTTTTTGGTTGGCAAAGATGGATCCACGTCGCATTCTACAAATAACTCCAGTAAGAATCCCTTGTGCATGGCCGCTGAAACTGCCAATCTTGAACTCGTTAAAGCAATGGTAGCCAACACGCCAAATAGAACAGCAGACGCTAATTCTGGTAATTTTTGGCAAGGATCGAACGGCAACTCAATTCTTCTTAGTGCGATCATATGGAGGAAACAGGGTAAATATTAAGCATTTGCAGTTACCTTTTTCCTTTTGGGTATACTCGCGAGTACTTTTTGTTTTTGGTACATATAGCTAGTAATGAGTATTCTTTTTAAATTTTGGCATGGGGTACATATATAGCAAAAGGTGGACTCAAGAAAATTAATGCAGTGTTAGTGTTGGCCCTGCTCATGTCATGCACTCTCATCAATCCACTCTTTTTCCTGGCGGGGGTTGTATGCTTGATGTATTTTAAGCGTATAGTTTCTCAATGGTGGCTGTCCAGAACCAACAGAAAGAAGTATACAAGTATGGCTCTGTCCTTGCCATTTTCATATCATCAGCATATAATATTGAAGTAGTCAATAATATTGCTTACTTTGTGGGAATGAGCAAAATTTTCCTACTCAATTGCCCATACCATTGGAGCAGGAGCAACGTTTTATCTACATGGCTCATCAAAATCATTTTCTTAAACTGTTGGAGATGCTCTAACTCTTTGTAATATGGCATTATGACAATTTACCTTTCGTTTATTTCTCTCTTCATATAAACTTATTCTTGACAGAGTTGCTTCTAAAATGGATATGCTATGTAGATCTCCTAGAGACGATATTGAACAAAATGGATTCAGCTGATCTAATCAATTCAACGGACCAAGAGTGGATGACTCCTCTTACACTTGCGGCTTATATAGGTAACTTTGTGGCGGTACGCGTATTGTTACACAAATTTACTGGATTGGCATACAAAGGTGAAGAAAATCAGTTCCTTCCCATACACGTGGCGTCCAAAAAAGGCCATTGGAGGGTTGTTGAAGAGTTTCTCAATCATTGCCCCGACTTGAGGGAGTCATGTGACGGTGAAGGCCGGAATATTCTTCATGTTGCGGCTGCGCATGGAAGAGTCAATGTTGTCCGATATATTATTGGAAAGCGCAATCTTCAAGTGCTTAGCAAGCAAAGAGATAAAAGTGGAAATACCCCTCTACATGAAGCCGTCCAAAACTGGCATCCTAAGATTGTCAGAATTCTTTCCCTCTTCCATGCGTATGAGAGAGCCAATTTAAATAGTTTGAACAGTGCAGGTATGACGGCATTGGACCTTGCAGAGAAGACCGAGGTAGATAAAGAGATGTTCTTTCGGAGAGTACGTAATTTCTCAACGCATCTTTTGATTAGTTTCCTTTACCTACACAGTGTGACACTACAACTACCTACAAGTATGTCGTACATAGGAGAGAATTCTACAACGTAATTAATTAACCAGAGGTATATGTATCCCCTTCTTGCCGCTCTCATTGCATATGAGAGAGATAAAGAGGGGAGGATATCCTGATTACACACGATTTTTCCATGCAGAAGCTAACCCTTATGGCCTTTATTTTAATAATCGTTTCTCTTGTTTGTCATGCATGATCTACGTATTGATAACAACTTGGTCAAGAACTGAAACTTTCGTTTTTCTTGCAGAAACTGACACTGATGGCCTTGAACTTGGCTAATGCTCCACGATCTGAAGAAAGAACAGCCTCCAAAGTAAAGCTAGTGATAGAGGATTCTGATTCGAAGTCCTTGCACAATTCTGATATCCTAATGTTTTCGAAAGAGAGTGTCAATACTCTCCTATTGGTGTCAACGCTGGTGGTTGGTATAACGTTTGCTCAAGGCTTCACAATACCAGGTGGATACAGAAGCTCTGGAAATGATGAGGGCCCCCCAATTTTTCTTACGCATTGGCTATTCAAAATTTTCTTGATATGCAATACCGTGGCGATGTGCGGCTCCATTACTGTTTCACTTGCCCTTATGTGGGCACAAACGCATGACCCTAATGTAATCTCTGCTGTCATGAGATTCACCTTACCGGTGCTAGGCGTAACGCTTATCATGATGTCCTCGTCATTCCTGGCTGGTGTTGCACTGACAGTGTATCACGTTTTATGGCTTCGCATCTTTGTTTATGCCACGGGATTTTTCTTCACGGTTTTCCTAGTAGGGCTCCTTGCTCCTCTCATGGATGGTTCAGTTTCCTGCGTACCTGGCCCAACACAAGCCTTCTTAATCTTTAGCTTTTATATATTGATGTTTGTAAGCGGATATAATTACGACGATGATTGGTCTAATAGATGGAGTTTGTAGAATTTCAATCAAGATTTGTGGTAAGTGTTGAAGATGGAACCAGTCGTTTATCCTGTAATACTGCCAACCTTTTCTTATCTTGTAATAACTACATTTCTCTAGATAATACCTCTACTTCCAACTTCCACTACATTTCATTAATTGCTGGGAATTTCTATCATGCAGCGCTTAACATTAGATTAATATTGAGCAAAGTCTCAATTATTATCATCATCATCAAAAACTCCTTGGAGGCGCTACCAATGACGATGATCAACTCTTCATGAAGCAAGCAAAGAAAAAACTGGGAGAAGGGGAACAATTCTCTGGTTTTCTATCTTTCTTGTTTGGAAAATAATTGCTCTCTAGGTTTATTTAATCCTTTATTTAAGGTATAGTTAAATAAATTCTAGAGGCAGTTGGTATTCATCACCCATAATACTTTTACTACACGTGAGCTCAAAATTCAAAGCAAACAAGGAATCCACTTTTTGCTAGCCCACTCAACTTGGGATTTCTACACCTCATGCACCTTCCATTTGTGTAAAAAATAATTAAAAAATCTTAGAGCTGACACATGGACTTTTGTTCATGATTGATGAGAATAACCTTTATTAAATTGGTAAGGCCCTCATCTATTCCATGCATATATCAACAACCAAAAAGATACGAGCTGTTGAACACACTATCTCCAAACTCCTCTGCCCATGGCAAGAAGATAAGACAAGGGAATTAAAAGTAGAATTAATAACTAAATCCTACCTTTAAGCTTTCCTCATGAAAGACTACTTCCTCATCCAATGGATGACACAACTTGGCCAACTGAATGCTGACATGTGGCGCGAGATCCCTCACCCTATGTGCCCGGCCAAACCATATAAATACTCCTTATTCCGCACTTCTCAAGTAAGTTGAAACCTTAAACTCAAGCTCTAAACTCGCTTTTTTAGAGAAACTTAAGCATTAGAGATCCATTGGCCAAACTCTCTCCACTCCTTGGGCGTGTGGCTTTGGTTTTTGTCCAAAGATGTTTAATTATTTGTAAGTACAATTTCAAGAGTGAAGACGATGAACTTTTACTACCACACCTAATATTTGTCAAAACTTCACATTCAACTATGAAACTCTTCGAAGCTCCACGGCGTAACAAGTTAAACACCTTCACGGCAACAAGTTGAGCTTTATCATTATCATCGATCACTCCTTTGTACACAGACCCCAAACTATCGGCACCAATTAAATTAGCCGTTGAGAACCTGGCAGTAGCTTTAAGTAGAGTAGCATATGATGCTTGCAAAATCATGTTCTCCAAAGTGCTCAGTGAAATTTCTATCGTTCTCTTTCTTGACGAATAAAGAAAGAAATAGGAGAACACCATGGCTAGCTATTCCTAGAAGATTAAGTCGAAATACTAAAGGGCGTATTAGTTTCAAGCTATGAGACAATCTTCGTTTCTTGGTCTCTTTAGATTGTTTGAGTTCATCGGGTTGGAGAGACGATAGGTTGGAGGAGAGAGAGAACAATTTTAACATTTTTTTTTGTTATTTTAATGGACCCAAACATGAATATTAATTGTTGCGATAGAAGGGACACTTGTCCAGCAAATTGTTAGAAACTTGCTTTTGAGGCGAATCTGCCTAGCATATCTCTTCTGCACAGCGATGCAATAAATAAACACTCATCAAATAAGCCTTCGAAATTCTCACAAGGCCGGGCGGGAATCAATTTAAGGTATATGAGGTCAAATAATTGAATTTGAGGGATCGAGGAGCTCACACAACAATCATTAGTATCGGAGAGAGAACAAAAAACACATTACTAACCAGGTGGAACATCATGTATTTGGCCTCATCTGACCTCATATCTCATCCAATGTGAAGCGTCTCACTCACATCAGATCTCACGTTGTCGTCACCCAATATAAAAATTACCCTAACAGAGCAACCCTAGTTATGAATGGGAATTTGAAGTCTGTAAGTTGTGAGGGGTCTTAACTGTGAACACTAATTTGGTATGTTTTAATTCATTTTAAATTGATTAACTAAGTACAAAAATATCATTCTGTTCCAGATAAATATAGTCTGTGAACGCTTCCATCCAAATATATGTGTATACATATGTGCAATGGCAGATTCAAGACTCTAATCACATGGGGTTCCAATATAAGATTCAACCACGCACAACCTTTTCATTGAGAAATTTAGTCGAGCACGTGGGGGCATTTTTTCTGCCTAAAAGGTATTCATCGAACAATTTGTGGGTATACTTCACAATGGATAGATCTTGATATGGAAGGACTCCGATTCCTTCTTATATAGGTGCCCGATAGGCACCTGAAAATATGGTTGGTGCCAAATTTTAGCTAGGCATCTGTCGTTGTCCGAATTTTATTTCTTCAGTTCTTATGAGTCCTAATTGGTTGGTTTTGAACAAACGTACAGCTGAAATATACAGTTATGTAAGACATGGAAGGGGGCGGCGATTAAATACCGACCAGGATACACAACGCTATGCATTTATCCGGTTCACCCTTAATTTGGTCATGAAGTTGGCAGGCATTTTTATTATAATAGTGGAGAAGTTACACGTGTTATAATGAGTTTGGTCAACTAAATAATTGTCTCACAAGTGTAGGAGAGGGCTCCTCTATATGAGAGGGACTGATGTAAATTAGATTGCGGAACACACTGAAAATCAAGTCGAAAGCAAATCGAGCAGCAAGAATAAAGCTTTATAGATTAATTAATTAAGTTTCAGTGTCTGATTCGGAATCATTACATTTTTCAAATAGACTGACGATGCACATCAAACTCATTGCTAGAAGGTATTGACGTTTCGAAGAGATTGTTGTTTTTTATTTTTATATTACTTGTTTAATTGTATTCCTATTTAGTCTCCTAGAGTTTCTAGGGCTATCTACACAAGGAGGTACCGTAGATAAAATGTTTAACATGTTATCTTATCAATTGTCATTCAATTTTGTTTGATATACTTTATGATAAATTTCAGTAATGTTTTCTTTGGTTTATGTTGTCGAATGTGGAATTGTGGTCATTCATAACTTATCCAAACATATCAAAATTAACTTATAGTATTTTAATGCTTAAGTAGCTACGTAATTGATATGTATAGCTTGATGAATGCGACATGCCGGTATCCTTCTTTTATACCGCGTTCTCTGCGACTATGAAGTTCTTTCTAGCCCCTAATGCCCTTCTGCATTTTGGTGGTGAAATCAAGTCGAAATGTGCAAATCGAGCAGCAAGAATAAAGCTTTATAGATTAATTTGAGCTTTAGTGTTTGATTTGAAATCATTATATGTCGTTTCAAAAAGACTGACGATGCACATCAAACTCATTGTTATAATGTGTTGACGTTTCAAAGAGACTGTTGTTTTTTATTTTTTTGTTACTTGTTTAATTGTATTCGTATTTAGCTAGTCTCCTAGATTTTCTAGGGCTATATAAAGGAGGAGGTACCGTAGATAAAATGTTTAGCGTGTTATCTTATCAATTGTCATTTAATTTTGTTAATTGTATTCGTATTTGGTCTCCTAGAGTTTCTAGGGCTATATACAAAAGGAGGTACCGTAGATAAAATGTTAGCCTATTATCTTATCAATTGTCATTCAATTTTGTTTGAGATTTTCTAATACTTTATGATAAATTTCAGTAAGGTTTTTTTTGGTTTATGTTCTCAAATGTGGAATTGTGGTCATTCTCATACCTATCCCAACATATCAAAACTTAATTATAGTATTTTAATGTTAAAGAAGTTACGTAGTTGAGATGTATAGCTTGATGAATGTGACACGTATCCTCTAAATCGATGTACATAATTGTTGGATTTTTGGATGGGCGAGCCCGTGAGTCCCACTCTAATACTGTCTCCAACTTTATCACCTGTCAAATCCGTCAGGTGTGAAGTTTTACCACAAAAAACCACAATGTTAATTAAAGTAGGGCAATCATATTTAAACCCATGATTTTCTTTTTCACCCACTGGGATTTCAACAATAATTCCATCTAAGAGAAAAATGGCGAGGTATATACGGAATTGTGCAAGTTCAGAGTTCAAACTAAACTCTGTTATGTATCTAAAGTGGTAGGCGGCGTCGTGTAGTTACCTTTCCACCTCTGCACTTAGACATTTGGTGGCTTGGTGGTTGCAAGTTCAACACATTTACGCATTTATTATTTGTCTATCAACTTGCCTGCATTTTTTTTTTTTTACAAAAATAGAACTATTTGCATGTCCCGTTTGAAATAACAATTGAAACTGTGATACTATACGGCCCACTGATTGAGTTTATATTCACCATGAAGCAAATTAGGACAATAGTTAGCCTCAAGTGTCATCAAATAATCCGATGAGGTGTTAGATGACATATCCATGCTCCGCCGCACGGCCTGGCCTGCAAGTTTAGACCGTGACCGTAGAATGTTTGACGCTGCATGAAAGTAGTAGATTGGTCATTAGACGGGATATGACTTGGTTTTTAGAAGCAGATGAGCTGCTGCTGGGCAAAGATGGAGGCATTGCCACCGGCCAAGTGGAAGGTGGTTATGATAGACCTGAATAGGCCGGGTTAGCTCAGGACAAGGATTACAGAAAACAATATAGCAGACGTCTGAAGTATTTAATTTAGAAAAGTATAATTTAACAGGACAGATCCTTCATTCCTTGGGGAATCTCTCGTTTCTCAGGAGGTCTGATGCCGATATGAATAACCAAAATACCATGATTTTTTAGTTTAGCTATCAATGGAAAAGTCAACCAAAACAATTCTAGAAATATTACTAATTCAAATTAATTACATGATTATCACTTAATTCTACCATGTTTTTCGACCGAGCGACTTTTTCTTGCAACCAATTGATCAAATTTTCCGGTGACCAATATGACCTTCAAATTTTCAGGCGACTGACAACTTTTTTCAGTTTCAATGTCACTCTCTAACAATGACCTTCAAAAGAACATGCTAAGTAATGAATTTTCTCATAATTTCTCTAATTTTATTGTATTTACATATGTGAAAAAAAGTAAAACTCACACAACAAAATATAATTAAAAATGAAAAAGTTGCACGTATTTTTTTAAGTCATTGTGTAAAAGTGACTTGACAATTTTCAGCGACTAGAAAAAATTTATAACCACAAGGACTCTGGCCGACAACAATTTTTGAAATTGGCATTGGTGGTATGTGTATCACGTGCAATGGGGACAAAAATATAAATGTTTCTATGTAAGTGTATTTATTCACAATTTTTAGAAATGAATAGTGGTATTTTTCCTTAAAATCTTTATTGAAGGGTGGTATTTCATCTGAATTTGCCTTACTTTTAACTTTTAGGGGTGTGGTGTTGTTGTATGCAGCATCCTATTGCGATCAAAGAAAAGATAACTCCTATTCTTTATTTTGTCTAAAACAAATAAAACCGAAAGCCCTTCAAGTGCTATAGAATCTGTAGCATTTGTAGAATCTTCTTGCACAAGTTTTGATGCAATACAAATTTCTGTTTCTTGGCTGTGTCCCAGCTGTGAACAAAAACGAGTTCCTTAACTTACCTGGAGATTAACAACTTTTAGCCGAGGGTTATTAGGCAATGACGGTCTCAGAGGATACTTCTCCTCCACATACTAATCCAAACACATTGTACTTAGAACAAAACTGACGATACAAACAAACTGATAACATCAACAACTCCTTAATCAGTGAGTCATGAGAATCACATGGACAAACATATATGGACCTCGAGTGCAACGGTAAATGCTCTTAACCAACTAAGCTACAAGCCTCTCCCTTTGTCCTATCCTTTTATCATAAACTTGGCTATTGCCATACGCCTCCTGTTAGGGTACATAGTAGAATATGAAGGTCTATGAATTCCTCCTTATGGTGTTGAATTCACCCGCTCATGCCACTGTGTGTTGTGATAAAGAGTTGATTTAAATCACATCTATTAGTCTTTCTTCTTCAACTCATGGTGTCCTGAATTCCAACCTCTTATTCTTCTTACTGTAAAATATCGTTTATATTAGGAAAAAACGCTAATTCAAATTGTTTTTATTTTCATGTGGCAGAGATGAAAAGTGGGTTCGGCCCACCAATATACTTGCTGGTGGGCCTGAGCAAAGTAGTCCACTTTCTTCTTCTTCGTTGAGAAATCCTCCCGAGAATTCCGAGTTCTCTGTTCTACTGTCCAGGTCAAACAAACACTTCTCAGATTTTCTTCTCTCACAAAACCCAGCTCTCATCTCACCCCAAAAATGGAAATTAAATAAATAAATAAATAATATTAAACCTGCTCTCCTTATGAATTCATGCAACAGAGCTAATTGGTGGGCTGGGGAATCGAAGCCCCCTTCACCTCACCGCCCTCAATTTCCATCACAGTCACATAGTTGACTGTAAATTCTGCTTCTTTCTTCAATCTGCTTCTGCTTTCTGCCCAATTGTCAAAAGCACTTTTTTTGCATGTGGGATCTTCTAATTCCCAGAAAATTGCAGTTTCAGAGATCCCCAGATTCCCCACAAGCTTAATCTGCCAGAAAAGCACAAAACCCAGGTGGGTTTTTTGTGCTGGAGTTTTGAAATGGCCAACTGCTTAGAGGAATTGGATAATGCAATTGGTGAGTTTTGAGTTTTTATTAGGTACCCATGTTTCCATTTGCCTTTGATAATGGCTGCATGTTTTAAATTTCATTTCTTTTTGTTACAATTTGATTGGCCTGTAGTAGCTTACTAGATTTATTTTTGTTCTTTTTTTTATGCTGTTAAATAGCAAAATTGCATCAAAACTTTCAGGAATTGAGGTACCACCTTGAGAAGTCGTTCTTAGAGCAGGGCAGGGCCCTGTTGAAATTTGAAGCTCAGTGGAAAGATCTTAAGAAAGATCACAGCAGAGAAAACGAGCAGCGGCAAGTTCACCTGCAACAAATGGTATATTCTTATTGTTCTCTCAACTTAAATCAATTAACTTTGGTTTTGCATATGGTGCATTTTTGTGCAGTTTCAATGTGATCTGAATTTTAAGTTAGTGCATTGCCATTGGGATTTTTCACATTTGTTCAAGACTTCTAGTTGTTCCAGTACTTATTTGATGTTCAACGAAAATAAAAGGATCTATCGATACTCCTCTCCTGCTTGGTTCTGCATCAAACTTGTACAAAGTAATCTTTCCAATAGAAAACTATGGTTGAACTGAGTTTTTAGAACTTTCCAAACACAAAAGAAATAAATGAACTGAGATTTTTATATAGAAATTTGATCATACACCTTGTCAATCCAAATTTTATCTGAACATATTCCAATTAAAAGACATAACTGAATATCTAGGGTTATTCTATCATATCAGGACTGTATAGGTACATCTATTGTTCGTGTTGAGGCAAATGCAGTGGTGGGTTAACTTCTGTCAACCCATGGATGTTTAGTCGCTGTTGTAATCCTTGTAATTCTTGCGGTTGCATTCCCTCATCACTTAGCTTTTGGGGCGAGTGGTTATCTAACATTGTATTAGAGTCTTGTTTGCAAGAGGTATTGGGTTCAAAACTTTTGATCTCGATGCTTGCTTCTATGCTGTGTGAATGGTGCATGGTCAGGCTGCAATATTATGTTCTTTTTCTCCTTCGATCTGTTTGTACCTCCACATGCTGCCCATGCTGCATGTGAGGGAGGGTGTAAGCTTGGCATCCCTTGTTCACCCATTCCCTAACATCAAGCTTTTGGGACCAGGGCCTGTGTAATCTGTCTGTATGGTAGAAGAATCTGAATATGGCATGTTGTATGCCTTCCCAATTAAAACTTCTTGCGGGGAGATTCAATCAATGGAAGAATATTTATTAGGCTTTGTTACAGTTATGATATGCGTCTAGCTTCCCCAACCACCCCCGCTTCTCCTTCTTTCTTCCCTCCTCTTTCCCTCCTTATGATATGCCTTGTGTTTCAAAATACCCCATTCCATCAAGTCTGTTGTGTTTTTGTTAACCAAGTTGATGTGACATTTACGTGGAAAAAATTTATGGACATTTTGTTATTATTTCATTTCCTTATTGTGTTTCTTTGTGGTATTTAATGGTGTTCAATGTACTTCCCTAAAGCATTTGAATATAACACTTTTGTCAGCATCGATTTTTCTAATATTCGTTATCATTTTCAAAGACCCCAGATATGTTTAGCTAGCTTCAAAGTTCATGTTATAGTGACAAATTCCCCTTCTACACTTTGTCGGAAAATAATCGAAGGGGCAGAAAAAGTTTATGTGGCTGCTTAAAATGGCTGAAACCCCACAAAATTAAGAGAATAAATATGTGCCTATTTATTTAGAAAATCAGACACATAAGAGAGCAGGAATGGAACGATGCGTAGCCCAGGTCATCTCAGGCATAAAAAATAAAAAAAAATCATTTCTGGCAGCTTTTTAACCCAGCCTACTCCACTACCACTCCATTCTAGTGTTCTTTTCTCCCCTTGTGTAGTACTGATAGATTGACCACCAAAGATAGCAAATGGTCTGTATTCCTTAGCTGTTAGCTTGTATACTAGTCCATAGGAAAATGAGTTTAGGGGACAAAATGAGTTTCAAGAAATAAACTCATGGCTAGTCCATTGGAAAAGGGCTAAGGCATTCATTAGTTGCCAAATGCCCCAAAGGCATAATCCTTTCTGTTGTCGTGTACACCTCATCCCTAATTCTTTTAGAAAGGGTGTAAACCTCTCATGCAATGACTTTACTATTATATTTTTGCCGTGTTCCAGGCCTACATAACAGCATTAGGTATGCACCTTCCAAATGTAAAAATAACCATAAGAAGCCGGAGGAAAACCCCATTATCCCCCAGATCGTCTGAAAACATTGGAAGAAAATTTCCTTTTAGGTGTCCTGTTGGGAATTTAGAAAGCTCTTCACTGCAACACATGATATTTCTGAAGAAAAACAGTGCCTTGGACAAGATTTTGGCACCAACACACTAGCTTGGAGGAGGTTTCAGTATCATCCCACTAGCTTAGAGGAAGCTTTATTGTTTTTACCTTTCTCTTTTCACGTTTCTTCTTCATTCTTCTAGTATTACTTGGTCTGTTTTTTTTGTGATTATTTGGAGCTTTTCTTTGCTAGTCCATTTATCAGGTCTACGGCGTTTTCACTGCTTTTATTTTGATGTGCTGATATTCTGTTCTGCTGAAAAGCTATTTGGTATGGGGTTGATCATTATGGTTCAAAGCATATGCTTTGTGTCCCCCTGCAATTCTGAAAACAGCAACTCAGATTACATTGATCACTGCATGCATTGCATATCGTGCTGTATGCTTGTTATTTCAAAATTAATCTCAAACGGTAGACAACAGTTACGTACTGCATGTCCGCAACCTTTCAGGGTACCCATAGAGACTTTTATCCCTGCATGGTACAAGGATCCGAAAATAGCTGTTAGCAATCAAATTCAACCGATGGGAGAATATTTATTATGGATTGAGTTTATGTCAATCAGTGGATGCATTGCATGTGTTGTATTCAATGTATTGTTGTTCATGTCAAAGTTAATCACCTTCTTTCAGGGTTTCTCAATACCATCAAATGGGACAGATCACTATGCTTCTGCAAATCCGAATGCTGCCTCATGGAGTAACACTAGTGCTCGGCCGGCTGGAAATGCTACTCCTCGTCCTTCTGGAAACGGTACTCCAAAACTGCATTGTGAGGTATGCAATATTTATTGCGACACCAAGGATGTACTCAACAAGCATAAACAGGGAAAAAAGCACAAGATGAATTTGGATAAGTTGAAGGGCAAAAAGATCCCTGGAGAAAACAGTAAGAGGAGAGCAGCTGATCAACCTCGGGAGGATTTAGAAACTAAGAGAAGGAAGGTTCTTGAAAGCGGGGCAGCACCCGAAGCTTTAAGGACTTGCGCTTTATGTAATGTGGTCTGTCTTACTGAGACGGATTTCAATAATCATCGCTCCGGACAAAGGCATGTTGAGGCCGCTACTGCGGCGAGGAGACATGGTGCTGGAACAAGTGGAGCAAGCAGCCACTGGCAGTCGCAGTGGAGATATCAGGGTTGGAATTCATAACTAGTAGGACTGCAGTGAGGCTCTGAGCTTCATAACCAAATTATTTTTTCTTACTTTTTGTAACTAATTGCCTAAAAGATTCTAAATCTCAAACTTCAGACCCATTTGGTAATCATTTCAGTTTTCGGTTCAAGTTTTCATTTTCTCTGCTACAAATGTGTCGGGAATGATACACAAAATGACAATTAAAAACCTCACTTTCAAGGTTTGGTTTGCAACTAATCTCCTTCCTTTCTCCGTCCTCCCTCCCTCCGCCTTTGTTCGTTATAATTTCTCACATATACTTCCCGTCTTTATCTAGCACAAAAAATGAAAACCAAAAACCAAAACGAAATGTTTATCAAACAAACGATTGAAACAAAAGGCGAAACCTTGAAGTTGAAGCTCAACCAATTTGAGAGGAGGAAATTGGCTCTTACTGCATTGTAACTTTACTTTTGGTGTTGGAATGGAATCCAAAGATGTTTGTCCTGTAAAGTACAGAAGAAGATGGAGAATAACTTCACCATACACACAGCCCCAACCCCACCCATGTGCAGGTTTGGTATTGATTTGACCCATTTGGAGTCATGGGTTCACTAATGGGAAGCTTCCCCTTCACCATATGTTTCGCGATTTAGGCGCTCTTCTTTTAGGCTGTCTGCACTTTCAAATATAATGTTTTACTCATTCGTTTGCAAACTCTTTTTGAAATGAACCGGAAATTTCCCATTCGAGTTTTTTTTTTTATTTCTAATGTCTTTCGATTACATTGGAAAGAGAACGAATCATCGGCCTATCCTAATCCTGATTCATTTTTCCAATCTCTTCATCGTTCGAGCAAACTCCGAAATCTTACAAATGCTTTGCTTATCCATGATAAACACAATCATGTAAAGTTTGTTGAATTAAGCTAAAATTAGCAAAATGCCAACTGAAAGAAACCAAATGAACAAAACAAGATTACTACAAATACACATCTCATGCATATATAAATATATAATGAGGATATGAATATATTACAACTTTAATTTTAGCAAAATATTAATATGGTGCGGGCTACAAATTCTCTGCAGCCGCCTCAACCTCTCCTCCTCCTACAAATTTAATTCCCAAATTACCCCTTTCACTTAGTTACTTTGTTATACCCATATTACTACACATCACAACCACTCACAAAAGTCACACCAAATCCCACCAAACAAAAAGTCAAACTTGCCCCTGAAGCACTCTCACATTCTCCAACACCCCTAGTCAAAAACAGCATCTAGTAGAAAAATCTTTAAAGTGGCGGGAAAATCATAAAAAATATGTTGACTTTTGGGGTTGGTTTTTCAGACTCTGAAGTTCTTGCCGGTGAATGTTTGACCGAACTGCCAGTTGGCCGGGACGATGTTCCAGGAGGTGGAGGTGCGTCGGTCACTGCCTGTGACCCGGAAGGACAGCGACTGACCAACCAAAACGGAGTTCGACTGCCAGTTCTGGCCCCAGTTGCGGCTCATGCTCATCCAGCCAGTCCTGGCGCCTTTCACGCTGACCCGCACGATATCCCCTGCGCCCGCGACGTTGCTGATCAGAACCAGGTTGAAGTAACGGAAGCCGTTGATCGTGAACCTGATTCCTCCCCGCTTCCGGCACGGCACCCTGCGGAAAAAAGTCAAAAAACGTGAGGGTATGTTCGGAATTCGAACTTGGGAATGTTAACGTGGATCGCGGACCGTGTTTTATGGTGGGCGCGAATAAATGAGCGAATCAAAATTGACCACTAAATTGGTCTTTTCACATTGATCAACGAGTCTCGGACTTTTGGGCACTGCTTTGGTACGGTCTCTGGTTTTTCTACATAGGAAACTGTGAACTATTTTTAATCGTAAGATTTACTGGTCAAAAATGTACGTACGGTGCAGATCTTGTCGTGGACCAAAAAGACCATAATCCAAGAAAAAGGGGTAGGTTTGGTAGCTAATGCAAGTTTAGTTGAACTATAAGTCAAATTTTATTTATAATTTGAAATGTTAATAACAACTCTACTTTTTAAGGCATTCAACTGGACTTAAACTTGGATAACGGGGCAGACACACAACATTGACTAACAGACTTAATCGACATTTGCATAACAACTTTCTTAAACCTTATATTACTAGGCTCGTTGTTTACACAAGCGATGTAAGCATTGTTTTGCAACACAACATGTCAGACAATCTGATAAAATACGTTTAATTGCACGACTAGGACGCGCGTGTGATCTAGTGGATAAGAAAAGGCCTAGAGTTAGGCCAAAGGATGACATAATAGCAACTGAGACACTTTCTTGAAATCTAGTAGCATATGTTAAAAACTAGGGTTTTTTGGGGAGTTAAATATTCCTCATGCCATGCCCATTAATTTGCTTTCAGCATTTGGGACCAATTGGGAAAACTTCAAACTTTTGAAAGTGACCAAAAAACGACCAAAGAGCCGAAATTGACTAACCTATTAACTACCATAAGAAAGAATCAACTAAAAATATCAAGAACTTGGGGCAACAAGTCAATTTCAAGTGAGCTCTTTCCACATGGTCATTAAACAGATTGATCAAATTCTCTATATAGCGTTTCAAGTATCACATAGTTCGAGTTTTTTATGCATTTGATATTTGTTCAAAAATATAAATAAAAACGATTAAAAAGCCCAGAATATTACTCAGAATACCATAGACATTCTACAAAAGCAATTAAAAATCAGACCAGGATCCAACTCACTTGTACCACAAGTGTGACCCACAAGACTGAGAAAGGTTAGAAAAAGCTTTAAAGGAAAAAAAAAAAGAAAAGTAGTCTAACTTGTTTCATATGAAAAGAAATTAAATTAGAAATTTAATATCTTACTGAATAGAGTATTAGATTTCTACAATGTCTCTCGGATTTGAAACTCTTATTTTTAAGTTATTGTAAATATTTTGAACTTTTCCTCCTCCTTTTAATAATGGTAAATTAAAAAAAATGAAAAAGAAACACTCGCACTACCAATATTGGGAGTGCAAAAGTTAGTGGCAGTGATGGAAATAGATGGATTTCCAGTACAACTATATAGCAAAAAGTGGTCTAATTGGAAATTCCGGAAACTGCATTTTCACTGGGCTAAAAAGTTAGACGTAGTGTTTTATAATAATGACATCTAATCGCACACGCAAGTTGCACCCGGCTTCTCTCCCTTCTAACTTCTCGTACATTTTCATCCTCTTCTATTTTATACGATCACGGTTAAGTTAAATCAATATTTTTTATAAAAATAATAAGATAAAAAAAAATAGTAATATAAAATATTGATATGACTTATCCGTGACCACACAAATAGAAGAGAATCAGAATATATGGAAAGTGGAAGGACAGAGAAACCAGATCCACGTAAGTTAGGTCAATTAGCTCTTTAAACTCACGGTCAAATCCGTTTATGTAAAAAATAGTAATTAATTTAGTAAAAAAAAGTTTCAAATACTTCCAAATCCAAGATTTTTACTCTCAAATTGTTAAACAAAATAGCCAAACCTAAAAAATAGAGCAAGAAAACGGAGAACAAAACAGAGCATAAAAAACAGAGAACAAAAACAGAGCTTAAAAAACAGAGATGTGAGCTTTACTAACCTACGGTAGGCAACAGGGACGATCCCAGCTCTGTACTCGGCAATCTTGAGGAACATGGGCATGGCGAGGTCGAAGTGGGGCCTAGGAGGGTTGCACCATCCGCCATTGTCACTTGGTTGGGCAAAATTGGGAGGGCAAAAGTTAGTGGCAGTGATGAAAATTGATGGACTTCCAGAGTGGCACCATCTGGGGTCGTTTGAGCACTTGATCTCAAAGCAGGCTCCGCAGCTGAGGCCATTGTTGAACAGTGCCGTGCTCAGGGCTCCGGTGTTAACTCCGTACCCTTGGCTGTATAGATTTCCATATCCACAAGCCCCACCTTAAAAACACAATATTTTTTAGTTAATTAGTTGACAATTAAGCTTGATTAATATCTTTGTCGTAGATCTTTAAGGGGTTTTGTTCGATTCTGTCAATGTGACGATATTTTAAACCAATCAGGCATTATCACGTGAGAATGCGGTAATGCATGCAGTGCATGATAATCAGGCAGTATCACGAGAGAATGCCATAATGCATGCAGTGCATGATAAGCTTGAGATATTAGAATGCGGCATTTCTGTGAACATTGCGAAAAAAAAATAAAAAAAATTTTGAGGCAAAGGGCAAATGCAGGGTTTGGTGACGTACCCATGGTTCCGGAGGCGTCGGAGCCACCGTAGAAGGTGGCATGAGCGCCTTGCCATGCGCCACCGGTGTAGACGCCCGGAATTCTTGCTTCAGCCACCCACATTAGCGAGATTAGTAGAGTGGCAATGCAAGTAGAAACACTCACCACACCCATTTTCTTTTTCTAATTTTCCCTAGAAACAAACAGAAAATAGAAAGAGAGAGAGAGAGAGAGAGAGAGAGTCAGTGAGGTACTGATTGGGTGAGGGCTTGAAGGAGGGGGTGGTGGACTACTTATGGAGGTTGGTTCCAGACTTGGGACGTCATCAGGGGCTAATTTTGGAATTTCAGATTAAATGAAAAAACAACAATCAACTCAATCCCATTCTCAATTTTTGGAGCGTGCATATTATCAGCCAATCGGGCTGCCTTGTACGGATAAGCGTGGGACCTGCATACGTTATTCTCCCATTTCCCAATCGGTGGGAGGTTGAGTTTGCACGCTCTTACGCGCGAGTGGTTATCTTTCTTGCTATTTTTTTCCTCTCATTTTTTTCCTGGAAAATTTATTAGGGGTTGTTCGATTTTCCTTGTTCCACACCTAAAAACTCGTTTTGCTTTGTCCTTTGTCAAAGGCACATACTCACCATGCACATGCTCTTCATAAGTAACCACAAAAGAAGTATATATACCTCCAAATAGAAATTAATTATGAATAGATATATATATATATATACACACACACACACATGTATGCATTCTTGATTAAGAGAGAACAAAAGATTAGATACTGTTTGGCTCCTCCTTGGAAACTGTAATTCTAAATTTTTTCTTATTGCAATTTAACGAAAAAGTTTATTGTGTATCGACTCTATCGGGTACACCCGTTACTTGTCGATTACTAACATAGCAACTCACCATCATAGTTTCCAACTTAAAACTTTAGTCTCATCCAATCTAACCTATGATCTTTGGCTACACAGGGATAAGTTCGCCCTAGCCACTAGGCTACCCAAGAGTGGGTAGTATCCCTAGTCTTTGAATCGTGTACGTAATGGAACTTAAATGACATGCGAAGCAAGTATACCTAATGTGACATCACAAATGGAGAGAGAGAGAGAGAGAGAGAGAGAGAGAGAGAGAGGGATAATTAGGGCAAAGGGCAATTTGTGGAAAATAAAATTTTTGAACCTTAAATTGGGTACACAAGAAAAGTAAAAGGGTTTGTTTAGATCTGGACTCAATGGGAGAGCAACTTTGAGTCATTCTGAAGTTGAGCCGTGATCAGCGGCTGTGATTCGAGGACATTCCTTTAGCTTTGGGGGACCAATCAAAATATTTTATGGGGCATGAGAGGGATAGAAAGTTATGCAAACACAATCTAAAAGCCCCCACCCACTCAGCTAAATATTGCATTGCATATGGGTGTATCGGAAAAGAGTGGGTGCAAGGGGGTGCCCAAAGCAAAATTCACACCCCTAATGACCAACTAGAAGAAGAAACTAATGAGAGTTTAAGAGTAGAGAAATTTTGTGTGTACTTTGGATATTGTCATATGTTGATACATTCCACGTTATAATATGAGTAGACGACAGAGTTGATCTATGTCTTTTTTATGAATGTATTATTTTCACAGTAATTCTCATTATATTGGAGATTGTGATTGGGTAAAATAGTAACACTACATGTTCGTATTTGGGAGAACAACTTACATAGAACATATTCATCACTATGTCGTGTTCAAATTCAATAATGCAATACATAATATTGTGCTATTGAATCAAAACGTCAAAATAACAATATACATATTCTATATAAGTCATTCTTATTATTTGGAAAGTAAATGCTAAGGGAACTCTCTAACAAGTGAAGCCCTTCATGAACTATTCGTCACCTCTCAATTTAAAGTCAATTTTGATGTCAAACATTATGAAATATTGTGCTAAAAATATGAAGGTGACAAAGAGTTTATAGAGTATCTCACTTTTAAAAGAGTCCTCTTAAAATTTTTGTACGAGAATACACAGAAATTTCGTGAGATTGGAGATTGGAACTGAGAGAGCATCCAACGTGGGTTGTAGGACCCATTTAATCCCGTAATCATCGGTCCATAGACTCCGCTGGCTTTAACTGTGAGTGGGGGCTCAAGCACAATCACAAACACAATGGCATGCAGCACATAACAATAAGCTAATTAATTATAAAATAACATAATTATGCCTCTCAATCTCGAGCCACAACCCCAGCAAGCAGTAATATAACAGACTAAACCCCATTGTTTTTGTAGAGTCGTAGACTAAACTCCATTATTTTAAATAATTACATTCAAACATGTAAGTTCCCTTTAGCTTATAACTTTCTTTGGCTGAATGCAACCTAACCACATGGGTGGCTCGCGTCGGGATTAGTTGTGAGCTTAGATGTTTAAGGCTCGAATATTTATTGAGCGAAAACAACATACGTGTGGTTTACATGAAATATGTGGTAAGAATAATATTTTTAAGTTATATAGGTATTTATAGTTCACATTTTAGAAGCGAATCCCACACAAGTCATAGGTACATATCAAAATTTTAACATATTATGTGAGTTGTAGATGATTGTATGTAATCAACGTTGCTACAGGCTACTTCAATTCGAAGGGAATGATAGATAGAATTGTAGTATTTTACGTTTTCCTTTCTTGACAAGAAATTATAGATTGATATTGTGTTAATTTGATTATCCCAACTACATACAGAGGTGCTAATTGGGTATATTGTTTTGGTGATCAAGAAAATGATCTAGAGTAAATTTGCTTAAACATACAATTATATTAAACCCTTAAACGGCTACCACATGTATGAAAAACTATAACGCCACTTATATTAATTTGTCACAAAACAATAGACGCAACAAATTTATACCAGTAGTGACAACAAATTATTACTGAAAAGCGAAGCCACGTAAAGCCATCGCAAAAGAGAGAAACGACGTAAAGTTTTACTTCTTTAGTTGCATGCATCAGTAGTGCCATTTTTTCTCCATGCTACTATGCAAATTATTACTACATTGGATACCCGTGATATCAGAAACAAGACGGTGAAATGATTAGGATTAAGCTTACCCATTATCATTTTCCCTCCTTTGCTTTAATTAAAGGAAAATATAGGAACCTTCTGTGTTTGTCAACACATCAAAGTATCAACTGCACACATCAAAAGAAGGGGAAGGGTGGATTTTGTGGTGGACTTTGCAAGAAAATTCGAATCCCGTAGAGGCCAAATTTTGGTGGGAAGCTTACATTTACAGTGATATTTTGTCATTGTGTTATACAGCAGAGAAGTGAAGAAATGAGATGACAAGAAGTGTATCCAACAATGCAGCTTCATACATGGCCTTTGAAGAGAAAAAGGAAACCATCGATGAAAGGTACAAAGGAAACTCACCTACGTATAAGTTCACAGCACCAAGTAAACGGTCGTTTTCTTTAAACAAGCGATATTTGAGGAGAGATGAAAGCAGTAATGCATGTTTACTGATTGATCTCTGGATATCAGCCACACCAAAACACTTTTTAGAGTATTTATATTTGTTATGGGTAGCTGTAATCTGTTGAATTAATGTTGAGTCTGTACATTTTGAAATTAGTTAAAATCTTTATATATTTATCCTCAAATACTACGTGGAAGCTCAATTTGTTACAAGACGAAATTGAACATAAGATTTCCTATGTAAGAGTAAACGTCGTTAACTAATTAAAAAAACAACTATAAATAGAAACTATATTATCATCACTACGAAACATATATAAAATAACATAATCTTGATTTCTATATCTTTCCTCGTGAATTTTGTCGTCGAGATTTCAATTACCTTTTTAATTGAAACACTCTCGCTTTGTTGAGACAAATGTACCCAATATAATCACAAGGAAGTTGAATTAAAATTAAATTCTTGTTAAAAAATGTAGGAAGAATATAAAATCCGGGCCATGGGTCACATCCATGAATTTAGCTCCCCATGTGCCTCCCACATCACATTTTATTCTGCTCTAGACAGGACCTCAAACGTGGAACCATAGGATGTTGACCACGTAGATTGTTGGGGGTTGGGATTGGATGCGTGCGGGACCAATGCATGATGATCTCTGATTAGAGCGTGCGATTCACTCGCAGCCATGTGCCTTTCATCATTGTTGCTTGATTTATAGTTCTTCAAGTCAAAAAATAATAATAAAATAAATTTAAAAGGAAAATTAGCCACCTACCATCCACGTGAATTTCAATCAGGATTTTTGCTTTTGTCTCGAGGGTTTATAGTGGGTTTGGAAATTTGGATTTAATAGTCAATTAAGCTCTGTTCATCTTGTTTAACTTGTGTGTTTGTTTGGTGGGAAGAAGATTAAAAAATGAATTTGGTATCTTTGGAGAGCGTAAATTAGTTTGAATAAGTTTTTATACCACTGGCGCACATCAATTGCGATGTGTGGTGGTAAATTTTTGAGAAAAGATTGATTGATTTTAAAATTGATGAACAAAAATAAACAGTTTCGTCAATCTTTTAGGGAGCATTTTGATAAAAACCTTTAAAGAAACATGAATTGAGGATCGAACAACCACACGTATCAATTTGTCTAATAAAATCTTCTATCGTTTAAGGAAAAAAAAATCAATGTTAACTTCTACCCAGTATAGATGTATATTAGGGACCAAGGTGGTCTTAGGACTATCTGTAGTCCTAAAAATATACATGTGAAGACTTTATATGGATTTTTCAACTGTTTAGTATGAGTCTTTTTTGTGTCTAACAAGTTTGTGATGTAATGTCTTCTAGACATTACTAAGCAGGTTGCGTCGAGAACACTCAACAAAATTTCACTTATCAAATTGCTTTAGCATATGTCAATATCTATTAACATGTGGACAACATAGTTCTATTGACAACAATCAACCCACCAAGCGTTCGACAAAATGCATCAATGAATAACTAAAAATTTCTTTTACATGCTTCGCGCTCTATTTCTGTTGAAAGCTTAAACCTTTAACACTAAAACTTGATAATGTTCGAATCTTAAATCTTCCACTACCCATGGCGGTAGAACAAGCATTCAATTTATTTGATATTTGATATTTGATCATGCCCTTGGTTGATTCATTTTATTTTTTTCAGCCCCAATTAAGAATTCGTTGACATCTTCTTTTCGCTTCTTTAGTATTCATGTTTATGTTATGTAATATGGTGATCTCATTAAAAAATATATCAAAAAATAAACTAATCAAAGGTGATTGACCTATG